AGTCAACTGTTGAGTGATATGAACTTTTGAGGGTTGATTACAGAGAAATGTTGTGGTTTAAAGAATGCTTAACATTGCATCTTGTCTGTATACTAATTTATAGTTCAGTAACTTTTTGCATAATTAGTGCTTTTCACTTGTTAGAATCTAGGGAAACCAGCATAATGGATGAGTGACTCAGTGGTTTCGATAACAAATGATTTTCTTAAATTTGATGAGACACCTCTTTCTTTCTTCCCTCAAGTTATGGTAAGTGTGTGGTTTTAGGGAATTCCAAACTTTCTTTTGCAGTTACTGATTCTATCAGTCAAGGTTCATTTGCAGAGAACAGAATCCACTCTAGCTGGTTTAAGCAGAGGGAGATTTATTACAGGGTATTAAATGGCTTACAGAATTTGTTGAGGAGGTGAAGAACAGACTTGAGGTTGAGCTCTTAAGAATGACTTCCAGAGCCTCACAGCAGAGCAGGCCATGGAATGGTGGCCTCCTGTGCAGTCAGGATGCTGCCTGCCAAGTGGAGTATGTTTCAGGGCTAAGCTGCCACTGATGTAGCTGGAAGGTGCCACAAGAAAACCATATACTTCAACAAGAAAAGCAGCAGAAGTGGGGTCTCAGCTTCCAGTTCCCATCTTTCTTCATCTGATTGACAGCATCTAGCCACATAGCTGCAAGGGAGTCTGGGAAGTGTTGTTTTAGTTGTCCAATGTCTATAGCACAGGAAGATGGAAGAGAAGGAGGGTAGGCCCCAGCTACTGAATTGTTGGGCCTACACCAAGATCACCTCTCACTGGGATTCAGGTCTTCCTGTTTTTGGCTCCTCAAGCACAGGAGACTATAAAAGAATGTTTTTCCCCTGTTCCTCCTCTTTTCCTGTCACTGTATGGTTGCTTATGCACATACACATGGTGTTCTTCTTTTGATGAGCTGCCTCTTCTAGTTTTAATCTTATATCTATGGTAAATAAACATGACATAGAATTTCCCAGGTAAGCCTGTGCTTGTCTTGACTTGCAGAATTTTCAGGTTTGGGAAGGAGAGCTGTGCTGTGCTGTATAGTTGGTGATGTAGCAGTGGAGGTTGGGACCTTGGGTTCCAAGCCAGTGGTTCTCCACTCATTCACGTGATGTGTCTTGTGGGGAACTTTAAAGATACTCATTCCAAAGATTTTGAATCCATGGACCTTTTGCATAGCTTGGGCTCAGAGACAACCTGAAAGCCCTTTAGGTGACCTGAATGTGCAGCTGGGGTGAAAGCCCAATTCCTTATCAGTGTTTTAGAACTGGACATTGTATAAAGCTTTGCTCCTGATACTTCAGCTGTGTCAAGGCCAACTGCAGGGCTTGTTAAACGTAGACCTTCTGGGCCCCACTTCCTCAGTTTTTGCTTGTATAGGTCTGGGCTGGGGCATGAAAATTTGCATTTTTTAAAAGTTCTCAGGTGATATGAGGCACTGTACTTTAAAAAGTATGGATCCAAAGGGAGCTCACTGTTTTGATTGTAAATGTGCATTTTTTAAACTTCCTGGAAGACAATAGAATCAATGTTTAAGGAGCATCTACTGTGATTTCTGTTCTGTGCAAGGGCTGGGATGATCTGAGGAACAGATGCCCTCACATCTCTAGGACTTCCCAGTATGAAAGGTATCTTCAAATGAGGGTCCCTTGTTTTATGTAGACTTTTGTATATTCTGCCCCACTAGCCTTGTTACACCTAACAACTATTTTAAGTCCACAGTTCTGTGCCACTGAACTGTGTTAAAGTAATGAGTTTGCTTCTTGTGGGTTGATTCCAGGGTAAGAAAGCCAATTTAAAAATATTCCTAAATACAGAATTATCTTTCCCAGAAAGACCCTATTTTTGGCTGCTCCAACATGTATTAGAATGATTGTAAATTTATTTGCCCTGAAAGATGTCTTTCTGGTTCTTCTTGTTATGTTTTCCTTCTCCTTTACCCCTTTCCCTCATCTTTTAAAAAAATAGTTGTGTTAGTGAATTTTAAAAAAATTATTATTTCTTAGCCATACCTAGTTTATGTTTTACAAATGCTATTGATGCCCTATTCACATGGATATTGCTAATGTTTATCTTGTCAAAAAACTACATATTTAGTGATCCTCAAGTTTTGTCATTATGGAATATAGATTCATAAAATTGATCTGAAATTTTCATCCTAGTAAATAATGGTAGACTTTTCCCAGTATATAGAAGAAACATTAATGCATAAAGTTTTTTCCTATTTTTACCTTCATCTCTTTTTCTCTTAAGTTTGGAATTGGTTTTCTGAATATAAAATTCTCTTTCGTGTTGATTTAAATACCAAATCATATTTTATCAACATCTATGAAGAATTCTTTTCCTTTTTAGTGATTTAATTCTCAAGTTTGAGAGCCAGTTACCTTATTTAAGAGAATAATTTTAAGGTTGTAATCTATTCTTATAAATAATAAAGAAAATTAGGTAATTACATTAAAAGAATAGTAGTTGTACATAATTGCATGCTGTTAGTATATATATGTGTATATAGTATATATATGCTAAAATAAATATGTAACAGTGAAAATCAGCCTTCTGGAAATAATCTAAAGTTTGATGAATCTTCTGAAGCCTAAGAATAAACAAAGTCTACTAATTTCAGGCTTGTGTGTGTCATTGCGTATGCTGAGCAGCTATATTATGAATTGACTTAAAAAGAGCAGCTTCCTTTCTGTGCTCCCTTTTTCCAGCTCTTAGAACTTCATGGGTATTGGATTGTTCACCAGGTAGAATCTATTTCGGTGGATGGTTCACATTTAGAACACCGGCACTTCTCATTGCAACTTTATGTTGTCATTGAGGAAGTTGTTAAAGTGTTCCTTCTTCACTGCAGGTGACACCTAACAAGGAAATAAGTGTGGGAGGTGGAAGTGAGAATTCCACATGGCCATGCAGCATTTGGTGAGTGGGTAATGGATGGAGTTAGTACAGAGATGGTGTCCAGGAGGCTGGGCATAGCTTTAGAATCCATCTCTTACTAAGCCGTAGTTATCTATGCTCAAATAGAATGTGCCCAGGAATGAATACAAATTTCAGGGGGCCTCCAGGAAATTCCATAGTGGTCATTCACCATTTACTGTACCTAAAATGTTGGGTCATTTTCAAGAAGTAGAAATATATAAAGCAGGAGAGCAGAGAGGTTGATGATTTAGAAGGGCCTCAGTGGCCAGTAGGAAAAGGGGACCAGGAACTAGAGAAAAGGTTAGATCAAAAAGAATTAACCTAGAAGGTAACACCCACGCACAGGAAATCAATGTGAGTCAATGCCCTGTATAGCTATCCTTATCTCAACCAGCAAAAACCCTTGTTCCTTCCTAATATTGCTTATACTCTCTCTACAACAAAATTAGAAATAAGAGCAAAATAGTTTCTGCTGGGTATTGAGGGGGTGGGGGGGAGAGGGAGGAGGCGGAGTGGGTGGTAAGGGAGGGCGTGGGGGCAGGGGGGAGAAATGACCCAAGCCTTGTATGCACATATGAATAATAAAAGAAAAAAAAATAGAAGGGCCTCAGTGTTTACATAGGGGTTTGTGAGTGTTTTTGAGGACCGTTAGTTCCCTTCCCTTCTCTCCTCCTAATTTCTTCCCTCTAAGCTAGGAAGCAAGTTACTTTTAGATTTTTTTAAAAAGAGTAAGCGTGGTATAATATAAATACCATACAAGTAATACAAATTATCATTTAGATACCACTTTTTTAAGTGCTTTAACCATATGAAATTTTCCTCATCCATAAAACAGGAAGTCCTGGGTGGTTTGAAGGTGATATGAGATAATTACATAAAATGCTAAGCACCAAAAAAGTCATACAGTTAGTTACAGGTTCTCAGCTGAAGTGGAAAGAGCTATCAGTCTTTGTGAACAAAGTGAACAACCAACTGGTTTCAGAAGGACTACCTTCCCATTCCAGTGATTAGTTAATAAAATTATTCCTGACAGTGGCTGGCCAAGGAGCTCTGGCAGTTCCATATTTAGAGACAGAGAACCCATTGTCCAAAGATTTCAGAAGAGCCTTTGCAAGCACACAGAAGGGATTTACAACAATTTGCATAAATCTCCCCGTGGATAGCAACATGGCACCAGTGTTGTGGTGGTTCCAGGAACTCCTCCTTGGCTGTATCATGAGGCGACTCTGTGCTTGGTGAGAATTCAGTCTCATGATGGTTTTTGCCAGCAGGATTGGGTGATGGGTCTCTGAATGAGCCTGCTGTTTGGTTCCACATAAGGGCTCTTTTGTGTTGGCCAGGGGCAGTCATGTTCAAGTTTGTCTTGCTTTTTCCCCAGTGATGTTTTTGGACTTTGTGGCCTGGAGAATTAAGCACAACACCTATTCTGAGCTAATCTGTCAAATTTTACTCATGGAAGGTAACCACAGTCCCTTTTATTTCTAGAATATGAGGAATAGGAGATACTCCTTTGGTGATTTCTGATTTATTAAATTAAAAGGTTGAGAGAGGAGAAGTTCCTTGGAATGCCCTGGTAACTAGGTATGCATGTATGTTCATGGTGGACCTGTAGGAAGTAATTTCCTTCAGTTCCTTAATGTGATTTGCTTAGCTCACTGACATCTTTAAGAAATATGTATTCTTGTGTAGTTAGCAAACAGATTGTACTTTAATTTTTCATATTTCCCTGTGAAAGGGCACTGGAGTTGTATAGTTTAAAAATGCCAGGTATTTACAAATGTTTCAACTTTTCTTTGTTGTTTTTTCTTCTTTTTTAGATGATGTACAGTAGCTCTTAAGAGTGTTAACTACTCACTGGTTCTTGCACAGAATGTTGTCATTCTAGAAGCTACATATGGAGTCTAACTTAAAATCTGGGGAATAGTTTATGCACTGGGGACATTTGGTGCTTTAAGTGCAAAAATGAGATCCACTAATTTCTAACCTGAAGTTTATTTTCCTTTAGTCTGCTAGCTTGATTTCTCAGCTTTGTTCTAAAAATATAAACATTTTTATGTTTATTTATAGGTGGCTTTAACCAAGAGAGCAGATCCTGCTGAGCTTAGAACAATATTTTTGAAGGTCAGTATAAAGAATCTATTTTGTTTCTTATTTGGTTTGTGTTCTGTAACTTTGAAAGATTATTTCAAACAACTCTTTACTTCATTGTTCAATTTTTAAAAAATCCCCAGAAGCACCTTTGTGTGGAACTTGTGAAAGGGATCCTTGGCAATTCTATTTTTTTTTTTTGGCAGTTCTGTTTTTTAAAATGTACAGAAAACATGTAGACAATCATCTGTGATGGCAACATGGTTTGTATTTTAATTTACATATCACATAGTGTCAGGTACTGAAAAGGAGTTGCTGAGGGACTAAGTCGTACAACTACCTCCTTTACCTCTTCAGGGTTGACCTGTACAGGGTGATGATAATGCTGGTTTTTTTCCTAAGAAGTTTAAAGCATTGTGTAAACATCCTGGACATCTCTGTTCTTTCAGAGGAGACTGTCTTGTCTCATCCACACACCCACTGTTGTTGTTATCACAGTCAGCAACATTTTATTACAGCTGTAGTGCCTGTGAGGAGGCCTCAGTGTGAATCACAGATGCCAGAGCACGACACGGAGCAGACATGATATGGAGCTTATTCCCTTGGTGTATTCACTGCTCAATATTGGGCAGTGAATGACTGATACAATAAAAGTCTATAGGTTTCAAGCACTGAAGCCCCTCTGTTGTTATCCAGCAGAAATTAAAGTACCCTCAAAAGAAAAGACTGCTTTTGTAGAGACAATGAAAACAAATCTGTGGGCCTTCTTTAAAAATTCTGAAAGGGAGCTGTGCTGAATGGAAAGAGACATCAAGGAATCACATGGGGAACTGGATGTATCCTATGATGTAGAAAGTTTTTCATTGTTCAGGCCTCACTTTCTTCATCAAAATGTGTTAGTATTAAAAAAGTTGAGGGCTCAGGATTTGTCTTAATGGTAGAATGCTTGCATAGCATACAAGAAGCCCTGGGTTTGACCCCTCAGCACTATGAAAAAAAAAACCAAAACCAAATAAACAAACAAGCAAAAATTGAGACAATAGCAAATTTTGAACTGACAGGATATTTGTAATGAGTTGATTTTTAGGCTGGATAATGGTATTCCGATTATGATGAATATGTACAGTCTATCTTTTAGAGATATACACTGAAGAATTTGTAGATGAGATTATGATATCTGAGATTTACTTTAAAATAATTCAGTTTTGTTGTGGTAGGGGCAGGATAGTACGATATGTTTTGAAACTGGAAAATAGAAAAGGGTTATTAATGCTGTTCTCTTTACTTTGTATGTTTTTGAACATTTTCAGTATAAAAAGTTAGAAAACTTAAGTGAAAGTGCCCAGGACCTGATATGCTTTAGATAGTGGTTCAATAAATGCTTGAAATCAAATAATTCAAATACAGGAAAGATAAAGATTGCAAAGGAAAATGATTAAATACTGGAATAGTTTGCAGAGGAGGAAAGTATATCTTTGTAAGGAGGTTTGGATTATAGCTAAAAATGCAGGATTCCTTGTAAATTTGGTTTTAGCCCAGAAGAGTCGACACAGAAAGTGATTCTAAGATGGAAAAGGATTTTGAGTGATGAATGTCCAGAAAGACATCTCTTTCTTCCATAACTAGTGCCTATTGCTGAGTATGTTGAGCCCACCTTGACTGGGATTAGATATAGGAAGGACCCATAGAAGTTTTAATATGGTATCTTTACAGACACCATTACTAGCATTATTGTAAAATTTTAATGATAGAATTTTGAAAGATATTTAAGGAAGAGCACTTAAGTAGGATTCCATGGAGCCTAGAGAAATGGATAAAAGCTCACAGACTTAAGTCATCAAATCGTTCTTTGAATTTAGGAGGTGTTACTTAAGTTTTCTAAATCAGAATTGTAAGCATCATTCTGACAGAAAATGAGAACAGCTTAGAGGGTGTTTCAGTGGATGGTAAGACTTTGATGTTCATGGGACTGTTAACTTGATGCATTTGAAAAGACTAGTTAAGGCTATGTTCACCTTTTGAGGCCATGTGGCAGTTGTGAGGCTTATGAAGATCTTAGTTTAGAATCACATGTCTTTGCCAGCTGCTAGCTACATCTGTTCCCAGATGGGCAACTATCCTGGAGGTGAGTCTGATTGGCCAAGGCAGACCTCGGGAGGACAGGAATTCTATGCAGAACTCTAAATAGCTCTATTGGGTTTATGTGTACAAGGCTGAAGGTAGAAACTTTGAGACCAGGTAGAGAACTACTTAACTTCTGAGTGAGACTTGGAGTCTGAGGAGATGAGGGGGCAGAGGCTACCTGAAGAAAACAGCATCAGCAGCTTGTAGAAGGGATTGTGGGTCTGGCAAAGGTTCTGGTGACTTCACCAGGTTTGGATAGTGTGGGACCAACGCAAATCCATCTTGGCTCAGCATGCCAAGGATCTCTTGTTTACCATCTACCGCAAATGGTGTTGTGGTGAAAGGGAAAAAGCAGAATGAGGCACTGTGGGGCTGCCAGGCTGGGCCTTCTAGTTAAGTACGGATCAGCAGTAAGTGCTTTGTAAACCTGTCTACTTTGCTGAATTTCTGTGTATGAATTTTTCCTGACTTGATTTTCTTCCTAATAAAAAATTAAGTGTGAAATAGCTCAACTGTTTCTTCTGCTAAACTAGGGGATTCTGCTGTAGCTTGGGGGAGGTGGAAAAGAGCTTCATTGTGTCCTTCACACCAGATGTATGGGTACTAGGGGAGTTGGCAGCTCTGGAGATCACAGTGAGCCAGTGGACCTGAGCAGGTGAGGAAAGATGGCAGAAGGCTTCTGGAGAACTGAAATGGGTGTGCTTCTCGCTTTTTTAGTGTATGTTTTTGAGAAGAGTTGAAATTGGTTCATATATATATGTATATATATATATATATATACACACACACACACACACACACACACACATATATATATATATATATATATATATATATATATATATATATACTGAGGTTGCCACTTGACATTAGGTATACAGTATTAAGTGTTGGGCATTTAAAGATGCATAAATCATCACTCCTGCCCTTAAATACTTCACCATGTATTAGAAAATAAAATCCATGCTATGGTTGAGCCAGGAACGAGTGGCTCAAGCCTATAATCCTAACTACTTGGGGCCAGAGATCAGGAGGATCGTGCTTTGAAGCCAGCCCTATCTCAGAAATACCTAACACAAAAAAGGGCTGGTGGTGGGGCTTAAGCGGTAAGAGCGCCTCTCTAGCAAGTGTGAGAGAGAGAGAGCAGGGAGCGAATGTGGCCACCATTCACTAGTGCAGAGAGGTGCCAGTAAGAAGAACAAAGAAGTGAAAGAGGGAACCAGTGGCTCAAGAGGGCGAAAAGGAGGTGATATGTAGAAGTATACAATCTGATATTTCTGGAAGATGGGAAAACTAAGGGAAGGAAGGGATGGGGCATGAGCAGTAAGACCTATCACAGAGTAACTGTGTATATTAATTATTTAGTGGCATTATGACAAGGTACCTGACATAAACTTCTTAAGGGAGGAAAGACTTATTTTGGCTCATGGTTTCAGAGGTTTATGGTTGCTTGGTCCCTATGCTTAGGCAGGATATCAAGGCAGCAGGAATGGGTGGAGGAGGAAGCTGTTCTAACGATGGAGGAGTGGGGACCAGGTATAACCTGTGAAGTTATGCCTGCTTCTAGTGACCTGCTTCTTCCAACTAGGCCCTACCCTCTAAAGTGTCCAGAACTTCCCAAAGTAACACCGGCTTGGGACCAAATACTCCAACACATGAGCCTGTGGAGGCACACTGCATATTCAAACCAAGTGAGTTGTACTTGGATGTTTAGAATTAGTCTGTCAACAGAAGCATGATAAACACTTTAAAATTTTTTGTAGGAATTCCTTATTCAAAAAACTTTTTTCTTGCAGCTAATCAATTTATATCATTGTTGAAGATTTAAAAGGCAAATATTTAAAAAAAAAAAGCTTTGCTCTTAGTGTAGATACATAAAGGTCTCTCTCTTTTTGTCTTTTTGTATGGATGTAATTATTTTTCCTTAATAGGAGAAAAAGCACTGTTTTGTATCCATTTTTCCCCTTACCTAATATATTATTAATACCTTTTTCTATAACTGTGTTTTTAAAATTTTTATGCTGTGTGATACTCCAGTGTTTGACTGTTTTACCATAATTCATCTAACCATTTTCCAGGATTGTATATTTACTTGTCACCTCTGCTGTGCTATCATAGCAACTCAGTAATGAAAACTACCCCTTAATTTTGTGGTGCTGGGGATCAAACCCAGGCCTCACTTACATGAGGCAAACTTTCTTTCAGCTAGCCACTTTTTTGCGTATGGCTAGCTTGTATTATTTTCCTATGAGTAATGCCTAGAGGTGGCATCATTGGGTTAAAGAGTGGGTTTACAATAGATTAAACTTTTGATTGTTCTTGGCAGAATGTGTTTCATGAAAGTTGTATGCATGTATATTTTGGGTAAGAATGTGGAAGTGTACATTTCCCACATTTATAAATTCAGACTTATTAAACAGTACGGCAGCAAAAGCAAAAAACCTTTCTGCCAGTCAATTAGTTGAAAAATTGTACCTTATTTTAAATTTGCATTTTAACAAATAACAATATATTACGTAGCCTTTGTGAGTCTTACATTTTTAACTTTTTATTGAGACAATTTTCAAATGTACAGAAAATACAAGAATAGTGCAGTAAACACCTACATAATCACCCCTTAATTTAAATTAATATTTGTAACATTACATGTGTGTTTATTTCAATGTAAATTAGACTTCACTCTAATTCACCTTAAATGTTTCACCATATAACTTCAGTTAATAAGCACAGTTTCTTCCATGATCATAACATTGTGCACATAATAAAATAAACTAATTTTCTAATAACAAAAAGTACCCACCCTATATTCACAGTTGTAATTATATTGTATGTTTTATCTGATCCCTATATTAGGGAAGCAAGTTAGAGAGTGGTCAGATGAAGTGACCTGGTGTGCACAGGGATTCTCA